GGGCTGCTCGGAGGTCCGGCCCGGGCCGGCCCGCCCGGGGACGGAGGGCGGCGGCGGTTAGCGTCGTCATGAGGCTTCTCGCACGTCGGCCCGGCGCTGCAACACCCAGGTCTGTTTCTCCAAGGATTCTTCCCCCCGCCACGTCCTGGACACCACATCTCAGGGCACTCCCGCCCTTTACCATTCCCGTTCAGCCCCTAGGTATCCAGCCTGCCAGCGTCAGCCCAGCTGGCACTGGAGCCGTGGCTTACACCACACGTAAAAAGCATGTTGCACAGCTTGCTTCGTTATGCAAGACGGTGCGCGTACTTCAGGGAAGGAGAGGGGTGAGAAAGCCTAGCCAAGCTGGTATTCCTAGCATATGCAAAACTGTGCAGCTGTTACTTCCATAAAATGCACCTGCCCCCTGCAAAAGTTCTCTGCATATTAGTTCTTAGACCATTGCTTAGACCATTCTATAATACTCACATACCCTAATTTTATCACCTCTTTTTCCATCCAAAACACGCGTGCTTGCACCTCATAAGTCACTACTATTAATCTCCCAGCTTTTGCAGGTCTTCCCAAACCAACCAAGGAGTGAGATAAGAGTGATATTAAATACTTACAGTATATGCAGTTCTTCTGCTTGCGTAAATTGGCGTATCTCCATTAAAGTACATTATCTAATAAATACACTGAGTCTACTTGATTTTTATCCAAAGTCGAGCGTTAGATCGTGTATCAGAAGAACGAGGCTGAGTGACAACAAATACTTATCTGTAATCATCAGTATTCTGGACTTCCTGCAGTACCCTGAACGTGGATCATTACTGAAAGTTGTCTTTAAAACCTTTGCCTCCTTACGATCCGCTCTTTCTTCTGTATTTTCATGTATGTTCTCAACAGCTTATTTTGAGAGGCATATTATGACAAAATTATTGGCTTACCATAGGCCTTATTTTTTGGCAAGTTTTTCATGGTCATAGATTTTCATAGCTTTCTCATGGTCAGTCCTAACGGAAACAAAAATAAACTGGACCACTAAAATTGTCATTTCAAGTAATCAAAATGAATCTTTTTTTTGCTTCTGTTTAGCACTTCTTGTCACTGGAAGCAATATTAAAATATTATTCTTAGGACTTCACTTCTACCACAGGTTATTATGTAAGTAACCCTTTGATTTTTATATATAATTCATAATTCTTACAGTAAACGTATATTCCACTATCCATGGAAACCAGTAAATGCCTTGCATTTTACTTGCAGATCCTTTTATAAGACACGAGAGGTGTATAGGAGGTAGTCTTCTCCTTTAAGGCCAGATGAATGTTTGTAATGGAAAATGAAGCTGATGCGTTAATCAGAAAAGCAATAAATAGGTGGGGAGACCTATTTTTTCTTATCTCTGTCCTCCATTTTTTCTCCTCACTGCTCTTTGCCCTGTATCACATGTGATACAGGGCTGTTAAAGAGTCTCAAGGCACTGTTCTGTGGTCTGGAATGCGGAAAGAAAGGAGGTTTTACAGTCACTAGCTGGGTAGTGTAAACGTTGATGACACTAGCAAGCAGTTTTGCTTTCACTTAACGTCATTATGATGCTAGTTTATGGGAATATAATGGGTAGTTTGAAATAAAGATGTTCTTTGGCAACTAGCGTAATTTTTACAGTGAATGCCTGGAAAACCCCTCCATTTCCTAATAAAAAAACTTTATCCTCAGTTCTGAGTTTCTAAAGAATCCTCATGTATTTCTGTACTCAGTTCGTAAATGTTCATTCAGCCAAAAGAGATATTGTTTAGTAATAATTCAGTATTAAGTTATTTCCATTGCTAAATGCATGTATAAGGAGGCAAAACAAACTATATATGCCTGTTGTCACATGTACAATGTAAACTAATTAAGGAAAAATAGATCAGGAATAATCCTGGCTTTGCTTGTACTTACAGCCACAGCTTTCAGAAAAATATGTAATTTCTTTAACTCTGTATCTTGATTGTGTAAGTCTAAAACTGGTCCTTCTGTTATTCAAATTAAGCAGATTTTTTTACTGAAATAATTAAATGAG